TCCAGACATAACTAAACAGAATGGGAATTATGTTATCCAGAGCAGGTAACTAAACATGTGCACCCACCAACACCTTAACAAAGCACAAACATGCTAGCTGCCCATTGCTGCTGCCAGGTTTCATCTCTCCTGACAGCTTGGGCTGGTGACTGTGGTGAGCCAGCAGATCACTGTCTGTCATCTAGAGCTAGACCACACAAGCAGCACAATTTCAAAAATTATTTTTTTCACTGGTTGTGATTTTTAGCGCACCAATGTCACATAAGCATCCTGTGCAGTGGTTGGACTCTTGGAAGACAAGATTACTGATACATATGTACGCCACATCAAACCGCAAGTGCTGCTGGCATTTCCCATGCCTCTTTAAGCATCTGTTATCTTGTATTGGGGGGGGGACCTGCACATTCATACCAAGGAAAATCTACAGAAGACCAAAGATCGCAAATTAGGGCAAGAATACATGCCACATTTACCTGCCCATCCACCTGGAGCTTTAGCACTATATCCCGTAACTGCCTGCGACACTCAACGCAAAACCTGGACCCATGGATCTATGACTACTTATATCTGGTTGTTCAAAGGCAAACGCCAAACAAAACTCAATAACGCATGCAGGCAATCCCACGGAATCTCACCAGAAAACGCCAGCGCAACCCGCGACGAACCCCCGCCCGCGTCCCACACAACCATAAAAATAAACAAAGCGCAAATCGGCAAAATCAACTAGCGCGCCACGTTGGCATTGCGCCGCATTATCAAACTTGGAATGGGTAGTGCTGGACAAAACGACTTTGCTGTTGCCCCCCCCCCCCCCCCCCCCCCATTTTGGCTTGGTCCCCCCGATGTTTTTTGCTGGAATACTACAAAAACGTGGGTACAAGATGACCATAACTCAAAGGCCATCTTCTTTGATCCGTCTGCGTAGTGGCGTCTCGTACTACCTTCATAACAACGTCATGATTGCTCTCACCACAAGATACAGATCGTTACAGCTGAGCGGATAAACGATGCAATAAACCTCACAAACCTAGCGCCATAAGACACGCATTGCTTTGTGAGTTTAAACTGAAAAGCTCCAGAATATGGGGATGACCTAAGTCCTTCATGGCTAACCCCGGCCCCGTCCCCCACAACCAAAATGCGTGCCGCCTCCCATGACCGCCATAGAAGAGCGCCATCGACGCCCTAAGGCCCTCTTGGCCCTTTTGGCTCTTAAGGGGTGCCTTCAGGGGCAAATCCAGACGGGGGAGGCCACGGGGCCATGCCCCCCCCCCCCACGCTTTGGGCCCGAAGAGGCCCATGGGCTCCGATGGCCCATAGCCGGCCGACACAGGTGCAGTTTTTTTTAACACAAAACGCAGCAACTTGGGCGTCTTTGGACTTGCCGTCGACCAAGAACAGTCGCAAACAAGGGTAAAGGACCCGCGAAGCGCACGCTATAGCTGCAGGGCCTCCTATGTTAACCTGCCAGAGTATTCTCGGTTGCTCGGGCGCCTTTTATGTCAGTCTCGGTTAACTTATCGACACACTCACGATATGCTCATGTACCCTCCACATTGGTCTAGGGGCCTTCCAGTTCTCTGCCACTTGGTAAGGGCCCTTCACTCTTGTCGGGGGTCCATCTGTTAATCTCCGCGGGCACATTGGTTGTTCGAAGCACACCAAATTGGGTCTTGGGTGCTTTCTATTTGAACGGAGAGCCCTACACACTTGTAGGGGCCCATCTGTGATCTTGCTCGGGCACACTGGATTGTTTAGGGGCCCTGCACATTGGGTATTTTAATGTAGGGACCTACGCTCCTGTCGGGGGCCATCTGATATCCTGCTCGGGTACACACGATCCTCCACGGGCTCTCCACACTGGGCCTTGGGTAATTTTTATTTGAATAGGGGCCCTCCGCTCTCGTCGGGGGTCTATCTGACAAGCTACTCGGGCACATTCGATCGTTCGGGGCCCTCTACATTGGGTCTTGGGTACGTCCTATTTGAATGGGAGCCCTACGCACTTGTGGGGGACCACCTCTGTTCATCTCGTCGGCCAAACTGGATGGTTCGGGGGCCCTGTATACTGGATCTTGATGTTTTGATTTAGGGCCCTGCACTCCTATCGGGGCCATCTGATAACCGGCTCGGGTACTCCATCTTCCGTGGGCCCTCCGCACCGGGTTTTTAACACTTATTATTTCAGTGGATGGCCCTACGTTCTTTGTCGTGGCCCCCTCTGATAAGCTGCTCGGGCACATTCGATTGTTGGGCGGCTTCTACGTAGGGTCTCGGTACTTTCTATTTGAATGAAGAGCCCTGCGCTCTTGACAAGGGCCCTATCTGCTAACATGCTCTGGCGCGCCCGATCGTTTGGGACCCTCTATATCGTGTCTTGGGTATTTCATATTTGAACGGAAGGCCCTACTCTCTTGTCGAAGGCCCCATTTCTTAACCTGCTTGGGCAAACTCGATTGCCCGGGGCCTCACAATGTGTCATGGGTACTTCCTATTTGAATAAAGGACCTTGCGCACTTGTCGGGGGCCCATTTGTTCGCTTGGTGTTTGAATTTAGGGCGCTACGCTCCTGACGGGAGCCATCTGACAACATGCTCGGGCGCACTCCATCTTTCGGGGGTCCTCCGCACTTGGTTTTGAGTACCTCTTATTTGAATGAAGGGTTTTACGCTCTTGTCGAGCCCCTTCTGACACGTTGCTCGTGCACACTCAATCGTTCGGCGGTTGAGTGTGGAACATTGTGTTTTAGGTGCTTCTTATTGAAATGGAAGACCCTTCGCTCTTGAGGGAGGGGGGCTATCTATTAACCTGCTCTGGCGCACTCGATTACTCCGGGCCCTCCACGTTGTCTTGAGTGCGTCTTACTTGAATGGATGGTTCTATGTTGCTGGCGAGCCCCATTTATTAAGCTGCCGTTGGCGGAACAGGGGGGGGGGGGGGGGGAGCACAGGACCATGCCCCATGGGCCATGCAGTGGGAACCCATAGGCTTCGAAGTGGCCGATAACCGGCTGAACGGACGCAGTTTTCTACTAAAAAAAAAAAAAACGCAACAAAATTGGACGTGTTTGGGCCAAAGACGGCATAGAACGGTTGCAAACAAAAGTAAAGAGTTTACAAGCAAGCAAATTTAAAACATTGCTGATTGAAAGGGTGGTGATTGATTGAAAAAGTGGAACTCATTATACTTTCCAGAGGCCGCACGCTGTTACCCGGCCCATATATGTCCACTTGTCTGGTCAATCTATCGCCGAGGAGCCTTCCACGTTGCCTTGATCTCTTGACATTTTTCTATTTTCCGTACATGATCTCAACGCTGCTGTTGGGGCACTACCTGCTTCCACGCCCGGGCACTCTTGATTGATCAGGGGTCCTCCACCGATTCTTCCCTTCGCCTGAAAGGCTCTATGCGTTCTTTCCGGGGCCCCCATATGTCAGGGCACACTCAGCTGCTCAGGAGCCCTTCATATTAGTCTTGGGCTTTTCCACTTGTTCGGAGGGCCTTGCGCTGTTGCTGGAGCTCATATAAGGTCAGGTACCGAGAGACTCGATGCTCGACGCACACCCGATTCTTTGATCGAGGGCTCTTTCCATTTGATCTCATTTGTGGAGGACTCTTCACTTCTATCGGGCTCTTTTTGTTAACCTGCCCGGACACTATTTATCGCACAGCGGTATCAATTCATGGTCTTGCATAATTCCCCTTTGCTCAGGGGGTCCTGTGCTCTGGCCGGGGCCTTCTATGTCAGCCTGCCGGAGTGCTACCGATCCCATCATCACGTTGATCTTGAGTTATTTTCACTTGCCCCGATGACCCTATACTTGCTGACAGGAGCGTCTTTGTTGGCCTCGCAGGGCACCCATGATCGGTCAGATTCCGTCCCTATTAGCCTTGGTGCCTTAGCCTCAGAGCAGCAGTCGTATCTGCCCCGATGAATTTTTACGTACAGTTGTCGGAGGTAATTTTAATGCCTCCGACGTCGCATGTGTCATTTCCCCAGATGATTGAATGTGTGACGCTTATCAAAGTTGTGCATCATGTTCTTAACATATTTTGCATGGTAGAATATTTTGTACACGTTCATAACAAATAAAAATTATACATAAGTAACCAGTCATCAGCTGATAACGTCACCCAGCCGGCTAGCCGTAAATAAGCTAAAGATCGAGTCCGTGTTTGGTTCGGATGTTATTTAGAAGCCAAGTTGAGCTCATTTTGCTTGTTTTTCCGAAAAACTTAGAGTTAACATTTTGACTCCAAATCACGAGATTTAACGATCTGGAGAAGATTAATGGGCTCCATGTATGTGCATGGGTAACATGCCCGGCTTTAACACAGTGAGATGGGTTTCCATATTTATATATATATATATATATATATATATATATATATATATATATATATATATATATATATATATATATATATATACATATATATATACCATTTACCATATATCTTAAAATTTAATGACCGGAATGCGAGATATGTTTTTTGGAAGGGCCAACAGCGTTGCGTGCCCCCCTTGGCACAATCCTGGATCCGCCCCTGGGCGCCTTCACGTGCCGATCAGGAGAGGCGCGTGCGTCCAGCGCCTGCGCCATGCATCTAACCCTGCATGACTTCTATGCTGCTTAAATAAAAACTGTTGTAAATTATACAAAGATGAAAAATATGCCGTGTTTTGTCAAGTTAAAGTGAGCTAATCCGGTGAGAAAAGTGGGGGTTAAGTCGTCTTGCTTTCAGCTCAGGCCCCAAAATTGCAGAAATTGACAACCTCATACAGTATTTTGCGCTTGCTCAAATGGCATTTGATGCTTGAACCAATTCCAATGACTCCGTGCCCAGTCTCATCCACTGAACGCTATTCGTCACTTCTAACTTTTGCTGCTGATCGGGTGCTGCTGACACAGAGTTTGAGCAGTACGGAAAGCATCCAGACAACAATTGTTTCCTGCGCACTTGCGACGAGGACTATTGGTATACCATATCGCGTTGTGTATGCCCCTAACGGGTGTGCCGCAGCATCTTGGCGTGCCACCCGCTAAATTTTTCGTTTGGCTCGAGGCAAAATTATTGCAGTGTATTTTGTGCCTGACGTGCGTAAAAATCTATTCGCGGAAGCAAACATGAACCATCAAGTCAAGGCTATAACTCTGAATTGCTGGTATGGCCCTTTAGCGCGTTGATATCTCATGAGCTGTCATATTATTACAGTTGTATGGGTTTCAATAACACTTGCTATGCGCTGTTGGCAACTGTGTGTGGTGAAAGGAAGGCTAGGGTTGAATGTGGTGATGAGGTTTCCGCTGGGTGATGACTTGAGCAATCTGTGACTCATTTTGAATTTGTTTGCTGAGTGGGTGTTTGCTGATGGTCATGCATGGTGTTCAAGATGCCAAGTCTCTTCCAACATATGCACCTTTTGAGCAATGCTCTGATCTATCATACTTAAGGAAATGTTTTATATATTTACCTGTCAAAGAATTCAAGCACTTTTTTCTCGGCTTGTATAAAAATTGGATGCAACTCATTTCTCCTTCACTGATAAGTCTTGAATAATCAAGAGACTGTCTTTTAGTGTTTATCTTCCTAAAAGCATTGTAGAAAATTGGGGATATGCTTTTTTCTAAACTTATACTTTACTTGCCATGTAACATAGTCCTAAAAATTTCCCCACTGAGCTGGGTTCCTTTCTGCCCAGCATACTTTGTGATAGCCTCTATAGACCTGTTGTACCACTAGAAGGTAAGAACTTTTAATAAAGGAAGAAATATTTGTGAATGATAAAAACATAGAATTGTTAGCAGTCATGATGCTGTGGACTACCATAACCACTGACACAATGGATATCATTCTGTATGGTTTAGTTCACTCACTTCAGTTTGCCACTTTGCATGAAAAATCTTATTAATATTATCTTGCTGACACATTGCAGACAGTATGGTATTTGCATGCTGTAAACCTGAAGAACATAGTTAAGAAATGGTTTCTCTAGCCAGCCCCTACCCAATCCACCAAAATTATAATTATATAAAAGAGGTAGGGATATAATGGCTCAGTGGCTAGTGCAGGTCCAGGCTAGAATCCTGGTTGCAGCATATCCCTTGAGCATTATTAGGGCTAATTGGGTTGCTGGTGTTCCATAATATGAATGTGGCAGTGTGTCATATGCCATTATAAATATTTATCTATTTGAAATGATGATTGAAAATTAATTGAAATGTCCTCTGGGGGAGCATGGTCTTCCATCATCTGTTATTTTATACAGATATATGAAATCCATATCAAGGAATATAATCTCCCATCATCTATCAATGTGCTACAACATAATTAATTCATACTGACAGGTGCCACATAGTATCAACTGCTGAGTGCATTGAATAGCCCACCATACTGACAAGCCTATGATATGATAGTGGGTAAATGAATAGGTAGATCATGAGCATCTAATATGAGTGGGCATATTTTCAGGAGATCAGTGATTAGAGTCTGGTTTAGATAAGTTGTCTCAGTAATTTCCTGTTATGTCCAGTTGTTTGTTTGATGGAAGTATGGGGTCCCATGTTCTCTGTGTGACATCTGCCTGATGATCTAGAAGCACATTTTGTTTTTAAATATTCCTAATCCCAAGCCAATTGTGGATGATGATTGAAGTGTCATTATATACTTTGCAAGCAAAGTTGTTGAGTGAGAAAATTTGTTATTCCATTTAACTGCTTGCTGTTACAGTATTGTGCATATGAGTGGTCAACTGTTGGTGCACTCAAGATGGCAGTATGTGATGCAGATCCATTTTTCAGGGGTGTGCCAGTTGTGGCACGGAACCGCGCACATCGCATGCACGCTATTGCAGAGTGGTTGGCGACAGCTGACTATGACTTCATTTTCCTGGAAGAAGTATGGCTGAAGTCTGACTATGCACTGATCAGAACCAAAACAGAAAAACAATACCCACATAGCCACTACTTTTACAGGTAGTTGCAAGACCATGGAAGATCTTTTTACTTTGTGTGATGCAGCAGTGTGTATGTTCTGTACATGGTCTCTTCTAGGTGTTTGATACCATGGAACTGTGTCTAACCAGGAAAAATGGTTTGCTTTGTTTGTTTTCAAAGACCATGAAAGCCATCTTTTGTTGTTCCCACCAGCAAACACAATGTTTAATTAATAGCTGCCTCTGGGTGGCACATTACCCTCCTGTCATACTGGCATGAGCCAGCCACTGATGCTTGTTGTGCTGACCTGGCACTCCTTTTCTGACCTGAACTGACACTCATGTTTTGACTTGATGATCTGACCTGGTGTTTGTGTTTTGACCTGACCTGGTGCTCATGTTTTGACTTGATCACTGGACCTGGTGCTTGTGTTTTGACCTGACCTGGTGCTTATGTTCTGACCTGACCTGATGCTTGTGTTCTAACCTGACCTGGTGCTCATGTTCTGACCTGACCTGATGCTTGTGTTCTGACCTGACCCAGAACTCATGTTCTGACCTGACCTGGCACTCATATTATGACCTGACCTGGTGCTCATGTTCTGACCTAACCTGATGCCCATGTTCTGACCTGACCTGGTGTTCATGTTCTGACCTGACCTGGTACTCGTGTTCTGACCTGACCTGTTGCTCATATTCTGACGCAGCGGCGTGATTGGCTCCGGTACCTGCATCCTGTCGCGCCACCCGTTCTCCACCAGTCTCTACCACCGCAGCCCGGTGAACGGGTTCGCGCACATGGTGCACCACGGCGACTGGTTCGGCGGCAAGGGAGTCGGCTTCTGCCAGGCGCGATGCCGCGGCCTCACCGTCAACCTCTACACCACGCACGTCAGTGCTAGCCCGGCCCGACCCGACTCGGTCCTTCAGCATCAGGGGTCGAGTGCTCATGGAGCTCTGTGTGACGTCTAGTGTTTTTGTCCGTATGCCCTGTAGGTGGGACGTTACTGAGTCTAGAACAAGGTTGTTTGAGGCACTTTATCAGTCATGTGCAGCCTTTGAACAGAGCAATCTCCCCAGCCGTCCATTACACTTAATGCTACGTTCGCGATTCTCAGCGGCCTTCCGTCTCTCGCCGTCGCCTCCGTGCGTTCCGTGAGGTGGCCGTCCACATGGACTCTGTGTTCCGCGCCACAGCTGCACGCCAACTACAACAAGGCGCGGGACGTATACTCCTGCCACCGGCTGGTGCAGAGCTTCGACTGCGCCCAGTTCGTGCGCATGACGTCATTCGGCGCCGACCTCATCATCTTCGCCGGCGACTTCAACACCAACCCAGACGAGCTGCCATACAAGGTGGTGACGCACTGCGCCGGCCTCAAGGACGCCTACTACCTGGACTCTAGCACCAACAAGGTGGGCGCCTGGTGCGGGCGGCGCTGGGCGGGCTATCCACCCCCACTGGCAGGTGGAGACGGCGGAGGGGGGGGGGGGGGGGGCGATGTAGCAAGACAGACTGACTGGTCGCGCTGGTTTCACTTCTGGCCGGCGTGCTGTACTGGACTTACGAAAAGCATTGAGTGCCAGAGGCTGGTTAAGCGTGGTTCTGCGCTGTCTGGTGAATCGACGCAAGATATTTGAAGTCGTTTTGCATTCACTTGTCTGGATGTCTCCGTCATGCTCAACAGTATCCTGCACTCCCTCCCTGCCCTCTCTCCTGTAGGAGATGCCGCCCGTGGCTGCCGTCGCGCCTCTGTTGACCGATGACCAGTGATGTCCTCCTCCGTCGCAGGAGGTGCCCGAGGAACCCACCTGCGAGGCGCCCAAGAACAGCTACACGTCGTCGGGGTCGGTGCTGGAGCACGGTGAGAGGATCGACCTGGTGTTCGTCGGCACGCGCGGCTCCACGCGGCTGGAGGAGGTGCTCTACAGCCAGCCGATGCCGGCGGTCGTGCCTGGAGCCTCCTTCAGCTTCTCGGACCACGAGGCGGTGGCCGTCACCTTGCGGCTGAGCACGCTGCCAGGTCAGGGCAGGGGTGGCACCGCCCGAAATGAACGCCGTAATCGCACCCCGCTGCAATTGTCATGCCGGCGCCCACGAAGGGCCTGAAGAACTTCGGCACGAGTCAATTCCTAATTCCGACCGTGGTATGGAATAGCATCTGTTTGAAGTACGCACACTTTTACAGGGTGGACATTTCCATAGAATAAATCGGGCGTAAAGTTGTCATGAATTGAACAATGACAAGGAGATCCACGTCATGCGCGTCCCACATTTGTCAGATGTGCAGGATGCGTGATCATGGTACGTGCTCTATGCGTGAAAATCACCAATCCGTGGCATTGTCGCTGGATGTCCTGGAAAGTCTTGCCGCATGCGTCCTGGCAGGTCACAGCCATGTCTAGTAAGCTGTAATTTAAGTCCCTGACTTTCGTCGGCGTGCGCCTATTTTGAGTCGGTCCGAGCCTCTGACCGGAGCGCGAGCCTGGCCCAGCTCGCCATGCTGACAGCGGCTCTGCTGCAGACGCCGCCGCCAAGTGGATCTTCCACCCATGTAACCGGAGGGACGGCGTGCTGCGCGAGGCGCTGACCGTCTGCGAGACCTACCTGAGGTCCTTACACGTCGACCAGGTGGGTGTGCGGCGCACCGGCCCGCGGACTGGCCGCGGTGGCGGGGCGGGGCGCGGCTGAGACCGGGGCGGACGGGCAGGTGCCGCCAACGCGGGGGCTCGGCGTCCAGCGTGTGTCCGGGATGTCGAAGGGGTGGCGCGTGTCGCCGACTGCGTGCCGGGCCCCCCGCTGGGGCCAATGTGATATGCTGCATTGTACCAGTGACGTGCCGTGCGCTTCATACCGTCCACGCTCCTGTTATGCCCCACTTCCGGGTCCCTGCTTCCGGTCTCCTGACCGAGACGATCTCGAAGTCGGTTCTGCTGCTGACCACCAACACACATCCGTGCCTCAGCAGATGCCCCACATAGTGCCGTCGGTGGTGACCACGGGTCCCCGCTCCTCGTCGGCAGATATTCCACGTGGTGTTATCCGTGCTGTTGCTGGCCGTGCTGGTGGCCACGCTGGGCGTGCCGGTGGTGACCACGGGTCCGTGCTCCGCGTCGGCAGATATTCCACGTGGTGTTATCCGTGCTGCTGCTGGCCATGCTGGTGGCCACGCTGGGCGTGCCGGTGGTGACCACGGGTCCGTGCTCCGCGTCGGCAGATATTCCACGTGGTGTTATCCGTGCTGCTGCTGGCCGTGCTGGTGGCCACGCTGGGCGTGCCGGTGCTGCACGGCTGGGCGCAGGGCCTGCTGCGGCTGGTCATCACGCTCATGTTCGGCTACACCGTCTTCATGGCGTCCGTCTGGAACCGGATGGAGCGGGCTGGCATCACCGCCGGTCAGTGGTCGGAGCGGCCAGCGCGCCAGCTGCGCCCGCCCGGCTCCGAAGACGGATCGGCGGGCGCCTCTGTGACCCAGTGTCGGTGGGGCTGTGCCCGCCCCGGCGCCCGGCTCATCCGTCGGCCCGGGGCGGCGCTGGACGGCGCCGGTGGGCCGATGAGCGGGGCGACACTCGCGTTCGTGCGAAGCACTTTGCCGCGCGTGCGCTGCAGTGCTCTGTGCGACTCTGACTATGCAACCCCGGTGCACACTTGACCTCGGAGTATTGACTCGGGCCGAGGGATGTGTGTCGCCCGAAGTGACCGGCAGACCACGTGGGGTTGAGTCAGTGAGGTCACCTGCGTCTTAGTCTGCCAGCGACTCATCATGTTTACTCGCTCCGTACCCCGCCGGGAGTTCCCCCGCATCCGGCCACGAAATCCAAGCCACCGATCTGCGCAGCTCATGCCAGGCTGCGGAGCACGCGGCGTTGGTCTCCATCGGGAGTGTTGGATGGCGACTGACCCACTGACCTTCATCCTCTTCGCATTTGTTGCCATTGACGGTAGATCCCGCAGAGCTCCGAACGGTGAGGTCACGTGACCGTTGTTTGCCTTTAAAGCCCGACGGGTCAAGTACCCATAGACCGTCTCATGACATGACCTACTGGCCTGCCTCTCGATCGTGCAGTGCCTGACGGAACCCCGTCAGTTCTCTGCCTCCTTCGGCAGCCTGATGGAAGTATGGATATGTCTGCGCGGTCTGTGCCCCTGCAGTGCCAGAATGAACGGGTTAATTCTGCAGTGTGATGTTGAACGACTATTATTAGATCCCCTTAACGCTACTACTTGCTATGAATCGAGGCCTTGTGGACGACTCTCACATGGTTGCTGCAGGTCAGCTGTTTTCTATTCTAACCAATCAGTTTTCAGCCATCCACACGCGGCGTTAGTCATTCAGCAGTAGCAGAGGCCTTGTGAAGGACGACCCTCACTTGGTTGCCACAGGCCGACTGTTTTCACCTCTAACCAACATAACGTGTTCAGCCACCCATACGCGGCGGTAATCATGTAACAGTTGCGGGCGTAAGGTGACCAAAGAAACCGACGTGCCCTTCAACCCGTACCATCATCATCATTAAATTGATGTCAATCCGTACACGGCACTGGTGCTCGGATCGTGCTCCACCAAACGTTTCCAGTTGAGGGGCATAATCATAGGCATCCGGACAGGTTGCACAATTCACATTGTCACGGTCTTCCAGAGGTATCAGTCGGGACGACTCCTGGCTCTCGGGGACGTTTTGCGACTTACAGGGCGTTCAGCACACAGCCCGACAGCATCGCCCATTAGGATGTTCCTCGCTCGCGACAGACCAATAAAGCTCACTGCTCGAACACTTAGTACCATGAATACTATGAGTAGAAGTGTTAGTTGTATTATGGGTACTCTGAGGAGTACTGGTGGTAGCCCGTAGGCCTGCGGCATCAATTGTGTGTTATCTTGTCGGCCGCTGTACGTCGGTGTTTAGCCTCTGTGGGGCCGCCCCTAAATATGTCTACACTTGACGTCCCATTTTTGCAGGGTATTGTTCTTTTTTTAATCAGTGTTTGTGGGTCGCATCTATTGCTACCGCTAAATATCTTTTGTGTCGCATGTTAATGGACACGATACGAGCTGTTTTAATGCGCTTGCCGAGGTACAGTCGGGCTGCCACGTCGGCTTCCGGGCGGCTGTTGCCTTCGGCCAGGCCTGACCCCTACTCCTGATGTCACTCAGGCATGTGTGACCTGCGCGTGGCCCTGAACAAGTGTCCGGAATCGGGCTCCTCGCCGCCACCGGCCGGCCGGCGCGACAGCACGGACTGTGACGGCAACACCGAGCTGACGTCGGGCGACCAGGACAACGCGACCGCTAACGGCTCCTTCTAGCGCCAGGCGCCGGGGGGACTGACCACTGTCTCGCTCTAGCGCCGGGCGCCGGGGGCAGCGGGCCAGCGGTCTCCCTCCAGTACCGAGCACCGGGATCAGATCCTCCGGTGTCTGGTGATAAACACTGGCTGTTCTGAGCCGTCACATAGAAGTCCGGCGGCGAGCACTGGTCGTTGTTAGCCGTCACATAGCAGCTGCGCGAGCGGAGGTCTAAGAGTCGAAGTCGGGTGGGATCGCAGGACGATCTTACGATCGGCAGCTTCCTGTCGGACACGGGCTCAATGTCTCTTGATGGTGCCCACAGTAGCTCCAATTGCGCTGATACGACACTGGTTTGAGGAAGTGTGGACCGTATGATTGGTCTTGTGTTACACCCGAAAACGAGTTTTGGCAGGGCGACGCCAACACCAGATTCCAATAGCTGTTGATTGATATTCATTGTGAACTGAAGTTAATGATAGTTACGCCGGGACCTCGAACGAAGACAAATGCTCTGGGCACAGTGAACTGTACAATAGATAGGCGACGCAAACGCTTGCAACATTCCCGTATGAACTAGTCGACACCGCTGGTAGGTGCTCTGTTATGAGACTAAAATGTTACGAAAGCGTTGTTATTTATGCCACCAGCCATCTCTATGGGGTCCATTTTACGCGTAATGCAGTGCGGTGTTCTGAAAACACTCCAGCTATGATTTCAAAGTTTTATGTTTGCCGTGAATGTCGCTTTGCCTTAGCTGCGTGGCTGTGGGCCTGGCTTGACACGCGCGTGCGCTCGGTAGGTGCGGGTTGAGTCACCGGTAGGTGTGGCGGATGCGACGGGCTGGGGACCGCCTGCCGCGCCGGCCAGAGGGCGACGATGGCGTGGAGCGTGGAGCCAGCGCCGCGGCGATGCGGCCGTGTCCAGGGGTCCGGCACGGGGTGTGCCGTCCACCCGCCACCTCAAGGGAACGCTCGTGCCTGTGAGCCGTGACTGAGCCATGCTCGTTCCTCGCGCCCGTTGCTGACCGTTCAGGGGAATGTGCGGGCCGGAGTGGCCACGGCTGTGCGCCGTGGGCACCGTGCCACCGCCGGCGCGCGCCACGTGCCGCGGAGAAGACCGGGCGACCCGTGCTCCGGTCGGGCCAGGCCTGATCTCGGGGTGGGCGTTCGTTTCGGGGCCAGTGGCTGGCAGAGTGAGGTGACCACAGCTTGATGTGATAACAGCCGAGCGTTACGGATATTGGCGCCATGTGTTCGCGACGCTTCTTAGAGAATATACAAATATGCCGTGTGTGTGGATGCAGTGTGTGTTTTCCCTCGGACCCGGACCCCCGAGGCAGGTCACGGGCCTGCTCGCCAGCGCCGCGCGGCGGGCCCGGCGGCGAAGAACGGCGCGGCGCTCCGTCACTGTTCCCGGAGGCCCGGCATCGGCCGCCCCGGTCTCATCTGACGCAAGGCCGACACCGGGCGGGTCACGTGCGCAGGGGTCCGCCGGCCCGCCGCGGCGTTCGCGGGATCGCGCGGACGGTGGCCTCCGGCTCCCGGCGTTCTGGCGGCCGTCCGGCTGACCACCTCTGACGTCATTCGGGCCAGGTGACGCCCGGAGGCGGCGGGAGGTGGGTGCTGTGCGAGCGAGAGAGGACGATGCGGTTGGCGAGTCCGTTGTGACACTGAATCCAGTCACGCTCGGAAGAACCCATAGCAATGTTCGGTTTGGTTTTAAACCTCGCGTTTCGGGTACGTGTGCGTCTGCTCTCAATATTGTATCTCTTGTAATTCTGAGGAGGGAACGTCGTCGGACGCTACCGTGTCACTTTCGTAGATAAGTTGAAGGGAGGGGATGAGCCGATAGAGCTGACTTAACCTGCACTCAAACCTGCATTCATCTAGGAGTGAAACTAGACTTGTATGACCTCAACAGACGTGTCTATGGCTGGTAGGACAGCGTAAGCGAGGGCTGAAGACTGGACGAAACACGAGCGTCCGTGTTAAGCAAATAGCACGGCCGACGCTCCGACAAGTGTCGGAAGTCGGTATAAGCGAGGGAGGCCCCAAACTCTTCGTGATTCGGCGCATGAGTTGGGGCCCGCGTGTTGAGAACAATCGATCTTCAGTTTACCAGGAAGTAATGGCTAAATGATGTCAAAACAGCATTGGTTGCATGAAGAAAGCTCGACGTCTTGAAGCTGTGCCCATGGTCAGATTTCACCGCTCATAAACATTCATTTTGGAAACTTTGGAGGAAACTGCACAAAATGTGTTGATTCTATTCTTCGTCTCTCTTGTGGTAGATCCAGGTGGAAGATATACCGCAGAACCGTAGCTTAAACCGCCCCGTCCCGAAGTGTTCTTGGCCGTCCCGATAGTTCAGCTGCTCAGAGCACCTGCCCTCCGATTCACAGACCTATGTCAGGGTGGGTCCGAGTCGCTTTAGGCGCTGGCTATGTGCCCCTGACTGGGATGGCCGCAGCCGGTGGGAGCGGCCACGGTTACGGTCAGGTGACGCCAGAGGGCAGGACGGAACGTGCCGAACATTGGGACACATCTAGCTTTCGCCGCGAAATTCCGCCCATGGTCTGGAATTTTGCCACCGGCGGAGTCAGGTCCAACGCAACAAGCACTGCTTAACGCGGACTCACATCCCAGAAATGCATCCAATTAAAAAGCTCTGATTTAATCTTAAAAACTCATGGCCGTCCTCTCACAACGCGCCAAACAGTCTTTACATCATAAAAAGGAAGAGCAGTGTGCTATTGCGCATCCTGACTGCAGGCGTCCACCTGATGCATCTTTTGTAGTTGCGACTTGATGGGTGTGCAATATCTGATGACCGACACTGTTGCTGCCCGTACATCACATGGAATTGAACTGACAGTTCAGTGACATCCCACCACAGTAACGATTGTGCTTGTGCTTGTAACTACACTTGCCACCGGCCTGAAAAGCACTGGTTGGCTTTGATTTTGGCCATATCATGAACTTTATAAAGCTGCTGTACATTGCGATCCATTGTTGCCATGACGCAGGGGCACGGCTAGAATTTGCGACGGGGGACTATTTTTACGAGCGAGTTCCAGCCCCGTTGCCAATACCTACGCACTACGAATAGACTGGCAGGTCCCATCAACGGTCCACAGTCCGGCGTATCAGTTGAGCTATCGACGCTGGTTGCTTCGGTGTCGTAAGCAATTGTTTCAGCTGCGTATCGCGCATGGTCACCCGGCTATCCACAGGTGTTTTACTAAATTACGGTTGTTGGGCCCCCCGTATCGCTGCCCGTGGTAAAGTCTATGACATAATCAAAAAGTGTTCCTGATCTCCACACTCTTAAAGTACATTCATGAGAGTCATTGTGAAAAACTGCGCTCGAACCTAACGGGGGATGTGTTAAAGCCACATGAGACCCCATGACCGCGCCACTGCCATGATCCACAAGTGTTATCTCGTGAGACACACCAACTTATGCAGACTGGTCTTACACATAGGGAAGTTTGTGTAAAACCTATTAGCTTCCCACAGGGCACTCTATCTGGCACAAAAGTGAGCATGTCAGCGGGGTTATGTTATAGATACCGCGTATACCAACAGTGCAGGCACTTTGTCTCCATTTAGCATTTGTTTTTTACTCATGTTCACTCAGGGGGTTCAAAGAAACGCTGGAATGCTCAAGTTAGCATTGGGGGCTCAGCCCTCCCCGCCCCGAAAGCGTGTAAGGTGACGTCCCTGGATGTCACCGATGCGTATAAGCAATTTCAACCATGTTCAAACCATGGCGGGGAATTTCGGTTTCCGTGTGGTCGCACAGCGCTCCAGGGGACTTCCCGGGCCATGTATGGCACAGAGCACCTAACTTTTCTCGCTATATTGCTAGGCTTCTTCGTGTTTCTTATTACATCTTCCATCAGCTCTATGCACCTGTTTTAAGCCGCGCTAGCTGATTCCCAATTGTGAGATAATCAAGATGTGAGTTGTGAGATAATCCAATCAAGGGTATGCTTGATCCACATGTGATCGTCTCTTGACGTGAACCGACGGCTTTCAATTGCCGATCAAAGTGTAGCGACGAAACTGCGGAAGGTTTGACCAGCGAAATACCAAGTCCTGATTGATTGCTTCCAAAACGAGGAAAATCTCTCATCTCTGAAAACCGTGTTCAAATATGGCCGCTGCAAAGCGACGCCAAAATAAACATTTGCAACATCGTTACCACGTGTTATTGTTACGTTGGACTATGGGCGCGGCGCCGCTTTACTGGCAGGACCCATTCGACCTGTGGGAAAGACAGAACTTAACTGAAGACTGAACAATAAAAAGGCAAACACCACAGCACCAGAAAAAATCACCCATCGGTATACACAGCAGAGAATGTCATTTGTTTAGGGATCTGCTCTGTTGAAGTGGCTCTACGTCAACACATTAAACAGCTGTATCCGCTGTGGGCCATGTATCAACGCGCCTACTTGCTCCTAGCATGTGGTCTGGCCTGCGGGCCGTCTCTCGAGCCGCGGCCTCGAGCTGTCCAGAATCAGCCAGCCCCGTCTAATCCGCCGCTGAGCGTTAAGCTCCCAGTGCCGCCTCAGTTGACAGCATCGAGGCTTTGCCGCTCAGTGCTAACACGAGCCGTTACTTTACACGACTGATCATGGTGTGGTGACTCTAGATCGGTGATGGCCGTGTCGTGATGAATTTAAAACGTCTAAGCCAGTGATGGCACGGTGCCACAACACGGTTTAAAAGAAGCCTTCCATCACTAGTCTTTGGTATCACCAGGTACCGATCGTCGCACGCCAGTTGCGTCATATTTCCGTCATCTCACCAGCGCGACAACAAACATGTCTGTTCATATAAGCCTCATACCCAAGATCACATGTGCCGCGCCATGCGACAACTCATTGGGCTTCCTCTCACAGCTCCTCCACCCATGCTTCCGTCCCGTGTCAACAATTCGTCTGACGCCTGAAAAACCAGCGCGGCGCCGCTCCTGCGTGCCGTGGCGTCGGGTGACGTCACCGTTTCGTCAGCGGTGCCGTCATTGTTTACCTGTGGCGCCGCGGTCGACCTCTGTCCCGGCTGGCCGTCGGCCGGCGCTCACGGGCCACCGGTACCGGCCGGGGCACTCCCCTGACTCGCGGGGTCGGCCGCATCCTGTCCCGGTCTGTTAGCTCGCCGGCCGGCCGGGCCGATAGGGAAGCCCATCTGATATGTGAGGTGTCTATTGGAACGGAACGAGGCGTGTCACCGGCGAGGGTCTCCCGACCACGTGCCGTCGGAGGCAAATGGCCGCTGTTTTTTCGTGGTGGCGTGCCGTTTGAGAAAAAAAAAACAGGCGTGTGTGTTCACGGATGAGCCCCTTTGCTGGCTAACGGGCTGTCCACATTAAGCGAAGACGAGCTGGAAACGGGCCCAATATCCCGGCCCGCAATCTCACTGCAGCCAGCCATTGACCGTGTGCGGTCTGGAGACGTCCAGGCCCACGGTCAGCCCTAAAAACCGCCAAACCTGACATGTGGCGCATCGAAGCGAGCGCGCCTTTAACACAATGGCAGGCTATCCCCAGCGCGTCCGTGATACATAAGTTCGTCAACTTTTCAAGTAAACTTGTCGTCACGTCACGTATTCGTCAAGTCAGCTTTTTCTTATCTAGACAGGGCAAATCGGACTATTTGGCTCCTACCTCCAGCAGGCACTCATAAAGGATATTGAGGCCCAGTGTCATATTCATCACTCATTGTAACAACATACGTATTAACATCGATGGCTGCTTAAAATTCGTCAGTGGCATAATGGAATACGAACATAAAATATTTTCAGCAAGCAGTGATATAAGGTTTGAATGCGTATTCGCAGACACCCCAATTTGCATGAAAGCAGCAATAAAATCACCGTTGTGACCTAAGTTGGCGCAAGATGGACGAATTCGGGCCTTCCTGCTTTGGGAACTTACAGCTGAAACCTTTGAACTGGACAGAGAGCCCTCGACACGCATCATTTTCGGTAAAAATCAAGAGAACTCACTAATAAAACATGCACACCACGGCCACATGTTACCCCCCGCACGCTCGTGACGGGAGTGCCTCCTGAATGCACGCATGCGAGCGACCATCGCGCCATTCGCACGCTGTTCTCATCGCTTTCCAGAACAACCTCTAGAGCATCTTCTGCATGATTTCCCACCATTCAAGCGCTGCTCCGTCCGCCGTCAGTCAGGGAACCGCCGAGCCTGACGGAGGCAAGTTCGGCATTAAGGGGAAGAAACTGCCCCGTTTGTCAGGCTGATCACCAGGTGCGACCGGCTTCAC